TGCAGCAGCAGTATATATGCCGTTGTTCTGTGGCCCGTGGATAAAGAAATGCCCCCTATAAATAGGATGGGGTCACTAATACACGGCAAGATTTCCAATGTATTTGATAAAGCGTTGGCACATTTCATTTCAAAATGAATTAAAAAATAGGCTTAATTACCATTAACAATTAAATAAATAAATAGAAACATCAATATGACGGACATATCACTGGAATGTTGTATTTTTATTAAACTTCACCAAAGAGGACAACCCCGGCGTGTGAACATGTCGGCACTGAATGCGTACGAGTGCTCCTGAGGACTCATAGGATTTGTACTTGCCCAAGAGAAATTCTGGTTACGAGAAAAATTCGTGAATGCCACTTTCTTCGTACCTTGTACGAAGAAAACCTCGTAAGTAGGATTTACGTACAAATCTGTTCCTAAGAACCGTTCGTGAATGAGGCCCATTAAGTCCTGACACCAGTGTTTATGAACAACAGTCACATGACTTCATGTGTTCATTGTGACTGTATTTAATGACCTATGTATGTGTATGTATGTATGTATGTATGTGTATGTACTGTATGTATGTATACATATGTATGTATGTATGTGTACTGCATGTGTACTGTATGTATGTATATTTATATATGTATGTATGTGTACTGTATGTATGTATATTTATGTATGTATGTATGTGTACTGTATGTATGTATATTTATGTATGTATGTATGTGTACTGTATGTATGTATATTTATGTATGTATGTATGTGTACTGTATGTATGTATGTGTATGTATGTATACATATGTATGTATGTGTACTGTATGTATGTATGTATACATATGTATGTATGTGTACTGTATGTATGTATGTATACATATGTATGTATGTGTACTGTATGTATGTATATATATATATGTGTACTGTATGTCTTTCACCAGAGATTATACTCGTTGCACTTCTACAGCTTTGTGCAACTAAAATACAGTCACTTACAATATTTACATAGAGCAGACATAGAGAATGTCATTCTGGTAGAACTGGGACAAATGTAAACAATAAAACACACACTTCCTTCTGACTGAAGCTGAAATTCATCTGAGAGACATTGTTCAATTTAGAAAAAGATTTTCAGGAAAAAAAATACAAAGGAATGTATGAAATGAGTTTGACAGATTTAGATTTTGAACTAGTTCAACAGTTTTGTTTGTGACTAAAGCGATGAAATGAGGACTATTCTGTTCAAAGGAGAAACTGCTGCGATGATGTCACACAAAACTGTAAAATGAGTTCAAACTAATGTCATGCTGAGCGTAGTAAAAACAAAATAATAAAGTTAATTAAAAGAAAACAAACGTGCAACGTAATTTAATGTTTAAATTTACATTCAATTAAAAGAAAATAGTTTTTCTCAACCTCCAGAACTCCGAGTCATGTGTGACATCACAGCAGTTTCTCCTCTGAACAGAATACAAATACTTTTGTTCATGAATCAGTTACTTTCATATAATTCTGTGTTTTTTAACATTATTATTTGTTCCTGTCGTGTCAGAATAAAACACACTTATGAAGCTGAAGAGTAAGTAAGTAAGTAAGTAAGTAAGCTTTATTTCTTTCTAGAGTCTTTCTATAAAACCAATAGTCCTCATTTCATGGCTTTAGTCACAGACAAAACTGTTAAACTCATTTCATACATTCCTTTATTTTTTCCTGAAGATATTTCCTAAATTGAACAATTTCTCTAAATTGAACACGGTGGGGTACGGTGGCAAAGTGGATAGCACTCTCGCCTCTCAGCAAGGAGGTCCCGGTCGGACCAGGGCCTTTCTGAGTGGAGTTTGCATGTTCTCCCCGTGTCTGCGTAGGTTTCTTCCAGGTGCTCCGGTTTCACCTACCACTAAAAACATGTACAATAGGTCTGAATGCTCCTCCTCTACTGGCCCCTCCCATCTCTGTGTAAACCGCTTTGTGACTCTGTTCTGTGAAAGGCGGTATATAAATAAAGATGACTTATTTACAAGGACATGCTTTGTTTACAGACGGATCATGCCCTGAAGTCCTGAAGTCGCATTGAGGATCTTTAAACATGTATGAACATCAGAAGGTTCAGTGTTGCGTGTTTGCTCTTCACGTGTGTCGCATACACACCAGAGTGACACATACATTACCAGAGAACAGAGATGAACTTATTTCACCATCGTTTGGAGATTATAGATATTTCCACGAGGACGTTACAGACGTTGCTCCATGACTACACTGTACAATCATAACTTTAATTCTAAAATCTGAGTCTGAGGTTTTTCACTTTTCCCTCTGGGTTTGTGAGTCGTTAACTGCTGATTCATGATGGTATAAAGACTTTTATTAACATTTATTAACATGCATTAATATGTATTAACATGTATCAACATTTCCTTTGTTTGGTTCTGTTTCGTAAATCAACAACTTCCTCTGAGACGACTGTTGTTGTGATTTAGGGCTTTACAAAAATACTTTGAATATAACTGAGTAGATACGTGTTTATTTATTGCAGTCTATTTAAGGAACAGTACATTTCTCCTCAGCACAGACGGCTCAGTTTCCTTCTGAATATACAGTACAGACCAAAAGTTTGGACACCTTCTCATTCAAAGAGTTTTTTATTTTTCATAATGGTAGATTGACACTGAAGGCCTCAAACCTATGAATGAACTCATGTGAATTATGTTCGTACTAAAAAAGTATGAACCAAGTGTAAATATGTGTTATATTCTGGTTCTTCAGCTTCAACAGGACCTGAAATGGTCTTCAACAGTCTTGAAGGAGTTCCCATGATGCTTAGCACTTGTTGGCCCCTTCACGTTGTGGTCCAGCCCCAAAAACATCTGGACTGGGTTCAGGTCCAAAACCATCTGGACTGGGTTCAGGTCCAAAACCATCTGGACTGGGTTCAGGTCCGGTGACTGTGGAGGGCATGTGGCCCAGCACCATCACTCTCCTTATTGGTCAAACAGCCCTTTCACAGCCTGGTGCGGGTCTACAGTCAATACTCATGAAAAGAACTCAGTGAAGGAGAGAGGGTGTCCAGACTTTTGCTCTGTATTGTATATTTATCAGCAAACATGCACACAAGTATAAATCTAAATAAATAAACTTTACTCACAGCTTACTCTAATGTAAAGGATATTATGAAAAACTTTTGTTCAAATGAATATTATGGACATTTAGAGAACAACACATTTATAAAACATTAATTGTTGACTTGTTTTGATTCCAAATATTTTCTCAGAACTATTTTTACTTTTGTGTCTTGTTTGCGCCAAAGCAAATGTGTGGTTTGTGACGTTTGGTTCAAAGGTTTACGACAAACAAAGACAGCGGCGAGATCTGATCACCCTTTCACTTTTCTTTCTTTTGGTTTAATAAACAGATTCAGGTTTCTCTTTTTGAAACACAACCACAAGCAAAACAGCAAAAGGCATGTTCCAGAAAACTTTGAAAAACATTAATTTATCAACGTGGCACATAAATGGTTTAATAATAATAATAATGTATGTTTATAAGGTAATATTTATGTAGTTTTATACGGCGCGTTTCTGGACTCTCAAAGTCTCTTCACATTATTATTCTTTCACATTATTATACGCGGTGGTTACAGCGGCCGCCTGTTGCCTAAAGCCGCGGAGAGGCCAGTTGGGTCTGATGAAAGTGTATGCCGCCCTAAATAAGTATAGAAAACAAACGGAGAGGCTGGATCCAGTTGCGATGTCATTTAATTCATAATAAACGCCGCGGTCACCGGCCAAAATGCGTGGTGAATATACAGCAAAAAGGAGTTAATAAACTGAAACCAGAAAAATAGCAAAAATAAATCAAACAAAACTATAATAGCGGTCTACAAAAAATATGGCCTCCCAAACGGACCTCTATCCTCTTTCCGTGCCCTCGCAGGTGTGTACATAATATATCCTGCATTTAACATGTTTCACACTTCTGTCTTTGCACAAATCTGAGTGATTCTTCTGTGCCAGATTAGCCTGGTCTTATCCATTCGTACACTTTTCACTGCATGTAACGTCTGGGTCTGGTCCCTGGGTTAGCGACTGCAATGTGTTGAATTTTGACCGACCAATCAGAGAGCGCAGAAGGCAGGTGTTGTAGTTAGATGTGGGTGACGTCAAGAGTTTGCGTCGAACGGAAAGGTTGTAGTTTGGAAATGGTCTGGTAATCCGGTCTGGTTCTATCAAGAAATTGAAGCCGGAGCAAAAGGAATGTTTAGCAAATGTAGCGCTACAAAAATTGTGGCGCTACTCCCCACGGGCTCCGTTAACAGACTCGGGCTCATTACATACGTCACAATAAACTCAGATCCAATCGTTTCAATCTGCAAAAGGAGTTAACCCCTCCCACTTGTTAACGGAGTCAATGGAGCAAACCTAGACCTTAGTATGAAATGTAATTTGTACTATGGTGTGGTACGACCAGGGTAGTGCCAGATGTGACATGTACATTTCTTCATCAGAGATCAATAAACTCTATATTATCTTATCTTATGTCCATTCATAATCTTGTGTACCGCGCCCAGAAAGACATGCACGCCCACACACACCTCCCCCACACACACATTTCCCCCACACACACACACAGACAGGCGCTCTCACGCACACACACACACGCACACACCCACGCCTCCCACAATACATTACTCCTCCATCAGCCAAACATTCTTCCCAAAACATGTCTCCTACAGTGGTGATAAACTACTACTGTAGCCACAGCTGCCCTGGGGCACACTGACAGAAGCGAGGCAACCAGTCTGTGCCATTCACACACACACCAGAGTCATTCTAATGTGAGTGAAGTGTCTTGCCTAAGGACACAACCACAGTTTGGCACTTTACAGCCGCACCACTGTGGCACCTGCTGTTCCCAGAGGTCCCCCATCACAGCTCTAACCAGGCCCTGACAGGATGTGGCTTTCAAAGGCAGGTATACGCACCAGAACTATATATATGATTATTTTGAGTTAATCCTTCAGACGTATTCCACGTGCAGTACTGCTGTGTGGCAGAAGAGGGCAGTAAAAGACCGTCCAGTCCATCTCTGCTTAAAGACGTCACCGCTGGAATCATTCTCCTGGACCTGTCTGTGAGGGATGGAGAGGTCCTTTACTCACAGTGAGGAAATGTCAGTGTTGCATCATCAGGCACAGAGCAGTGATGAGGAGAAGCACGAAATCAATTAACAATAACTCTACACTAATTTATAATTTATTATATAAAGTATAAAAAACGTTTATGTATTATTATTATTATTATTATTATTATTATTATTATTCATGCACAGTGGTCATCCTGCTCCATGGACCAATGGTCAGCACTAGATCATATACGGAATCGGGACGGAAGCGGAAGTAAAAATAACAAACTACCTATTCATGCCTAAACTTAACCAGCCATTCCCATAAAATAACCCCAACCCAGCCTTAACCCTAAACTTAACCATCTTACTTAAACACCTAAAACTTAACCAGTCACCACTTAAGGACAAATTAGTCTAAAAAGTAGGATTGTTACTTCCGGTTTTGTCCCGATTCCGTATATGATCTAGTGCCGACCATGGATCAATGGCTTCTAAATGTTTTGGTTATATGGGCTCTACTGTATACACGCACCACTTCCGCGTTTTAGCTACTACCCCACTTCACTTCCTGTTCGCGGGAAACGGCTTGAGTCTCACTGGAGTTCAGCAGTGGTTTACACGAGTTTCCCAAATAATGCTCAAACGGGAATTAAACTGTGAGAATACTGGGCATTTTTGGGACACAGCTGTGCTCTTTGCTGTCATTGTGTTTTTACAAAGTTTACTAATCTCTCTGAGTGGCCACAGTCACAGCTCTACCTCAGAGAGAAAGCACAGCCACACTTTTGGGTCAGTCTCAGCTGAATGTATCAATCTAATTATTAAAAAACGTCACTACAACTCATCTAAAAGCCATAGGATAGCATAGACAGGAAGTGGACGGGCTGATCTTTGTTGACAGGAAATGACGTCACGCCTTCCCGTGCATACAGCCCATTTGCCTTTCCTGTGTTCAAACTGTGATTCTCGGATCTGCTGTTGGTGAATTTAATAGTTCTAAAGGTTTCCCATGAACGACATTCTTCTGTGATGCGTCTGTTCTCCACAGGCTGCAGCTGCAGTACATGTGTCTGACTGTAGGGGGCAGTGTGAGGCAGTACATATGTCTGACTGTAGGGGGCAGTGTGAGGCAGTACATGTGTCTGACAGTAGGGGGCAGTGTGAGGCAGTACATGTGTCTGACTGTAGGGGGCAGTGTGAGGCAGTACATGTGTCTGACTGTAGGGGGCAGTGTGAGGCAGTACATGTGTCTGACAGTAGGGGGCAGTGTGAGGCAGTACATGTGTCTGACTGTAGGGGCAGTGTGAGGCAGTACATGTGTCTGACTGTAGGGGGCAGTACATGTGTCTGACTGTAGGGGGCAGTGTGAGGCAGTGCATGTGCTGACTGTAGGGGGTAGTGTGAGGCAGTACATGTGTCTGACTGTAGGGGGCAGTACATGTGTCTGACTGTAGGGGACAGGGTGAGGCAGTACATGTGTCTGACTGTAGGGGGCAGTGTGAGGCAGTACATGTGTCTGACTGTAGGGGGCAGTGTGAGGCAGTGCATGTGTCTGACTGTAGGGGGCAGTGTGAGGCAGTACATGTGTCTGACTGTAGGGGGCAGTGTGAGGCAGTACATGTGTCTGACAGTAGGGGGCAGTGTGAGGCAGTACATGTGTCTGACAGTAGGGGGCAATGTGAGGCAGTACATGTGTCTGACAGTAGGGGGCAGTGTGAGGCAGTACATGTGTCTGGCTGTAGGGGGCAGTGTGAGGCAGTACATGTGTCTGACTGTAGGGGACAGTGTGAGGCAGTACATGTGTCTGACTGTAGGGGGCAGTGTGAGGCAGTACATGTGTCTGACTGTAGGGGACAGTGTGAGGCAGTACATGTGTCTGACTGTAGGGGGCAGTGTGAGGCAGTACATGTGTCTGACAGTAGGGGGCAGTGTGAGGCAGTACATGTGTCTGACAGTAGGGGGCAGTGTGAGGCAGTACATGTGTCTGACTGTAGGGGGCAGTGTGAGGCAGTACATGTGTCTGACTGTAGGGGGCAGTGTGAGGCAGTGCATGTGTCTGACAAACAAACAATAACATCAAAATACTCACAACTGTCATTTCCTTCATCCTCAAACACAGAAACAGTTTTTCGATTCATCAAAGACACTTATTCTCAGAGTCTGAACGTAAACAAAGCTAACACGCTAACTCGCTAACTCGCCGTAGCCCTGAGGTGCAGAACTCTCCGATGACACATGTTTCTTCTTCACTGCAGCTTTAATAACGCTCTGTCACCGCGGCGCAGTTTCCTGTCAAAGATTCACTCAAAATGACACTTTTATTATTGCTGAAGGCGACTCAGACTCCCAGATCCCAGAGACGTGTGCGACTCTGACGGACGTGTGCGACTCTGACGGACGTGTGCGACTCTGACGGACGTGTGCGACTCTGACAGACGTGTGCGACTGTGACGGAGGAGTCCTCGGGGTTATGATGGTCCCAGGAGATGGTTGGTTCATGGTCAAAACATCCTCGTCACATGTTCATGAGACGTGAAGGCACATGACTTTATCAGTTTCAGTATGTCAGAAAACTGTAGTCTGTGAAGGAGGAGAGAGACCAGAGAGAGACCAGAGAGAGACCAGAGAGAGACCAGAGAGAGACCAGAGAGAGACCAAAGAGAGACCAGAGAGAGACCAGAGAGAGACCAGAGAGAGACCAGAGAGAGACCAGAGAGAGACCAGAAAGAGACCAGAGAGAGAGAGAGACCAGAGAGAGACCAGAGAGAGAGAGACCAGAGAGAGACCAGAGAGAGACCAGAGAGAGACCAGAGGGAGACCAGAGAGAGAGACCAGAGAGAGACCAGAGAGAGAGAGAGAGACCAGAGAGAGACCAGAGAGAGAGACCAGAGAGAGACCAGAGAGAGAGAGACCAGAGAGAGACCAGAGAGAGAAACTAGAGAGAGACCAGAGAGAGACCAGAGAGAGACCAGAGAGGGAGACCAGAGAGAGACCAGAGAGAGACCAGAGAGAGACCAGAGAGAGAGACCAGAGAGAGACCAGAGAGAGACCAGAGAGAGACCAGAGAGACCAGAGAGAGAAACCAGAGAAAGACCAGAGAGAGACCAGAGAGAGACCAGAGAGAGAGACCAGAGAAAGACCAGAGAGAGACCAGAGAGAGACCAGAGAGAGACCAGAGAGAGAGACCAGAGAGAGACCAGAGAGAGACCAGAGAGAGACCAGAGAGAGACCAGAGAGACCAGAGAGAGAAACCAGAGAAAGACCAGAGAGAGACCAGAGAGAGACCAGAGAGAGAAACCAGAGAAAGACCAGAGAGAGACCAGAGAGAGACCAGCATGACATACTTGCAGAGAGCATGTATTTTTGGCCACTGTCACATCTTGAGTTCAGCTTTTTCAGGCTCACTCCATCGTGTGAAAGACAGGTACCTGAGCTTTAAAGAACAGAACGAGACTAAAGACCTCAACAACTCATTTCCCCAAATTGCTTTCATTACATCTGCATCTCCCTCGACAACAAAAGCATTTAAGTGTGTGTGTGTGTGTGTCTCTGTGTGTGTGTCTGTGTGTGTGTGTCTGTCTGTGTGTGTGTGTGTGTCGGTGGTAGAAGAACCAATAGTTTTTATTTTATCAGTTTTATCGTCACATTTCTCCCAGCTGCAAACATTGGATCTGCATCTGTTTGATGAGGACGAGCTTTTGCCTGTGGACACACACACAGACACACACACACACACATACAAATAATAGACACACACACATTACAGACACACACACATAACAGACACACACACACAGACACAGACACAGATTACAGACACACACACATAACAGACACACACACACAGACACAGACACAGATTACAGACACACACACATAACAGACACACATACACACATAACAGACACACAGACACAGATTACAGACACACACAAGTAACAGACACACATACACACATAACAGACACACACACACAGACACACACAGACTCACAGACACACTCAGGCCCAGCTATAGTCGTGTCGGTTGCTGCCTCCCGTTCTCACAGAGACTGTTCCAGGTGAAAACGTAAGTGTCCAGATCCAGCCTCAGAGTGGCACAGCTTAGATGCTCAGCAGGGGGCGCTCTTTCTCTGCTGCTCTGACCCCGCCTCCCGCTGCTCCCGCACGTACATTTGGACATGAGCAGAAGAACAAACGTAAACAACAATGGCGGCGGGTAAACTAACTACGTGGGCTTCGAGCGCTAACAGAGGAGGATCCTACTCCTTCGTTCATCCAAACGAGACCTCCGAATAAACTGGGCCTTAGACACACACACAGACATCACACACACACACACACACACATTAATAATAATAATAATAATAATGCATCGGTTTTATATAGCGCTATTTTGGACACTCAAAGACGCTTCACATGTGTCATTATTCATTCACTCCATACACGGTGGTGATAAACTACTACTGTAGCCACAGCTGCCCTGGGGCACACTGACAGAAGCGAGGCAACCAGTATGTGCCATCGGCCCCTCCCACCACCACCACCAGAGAGAGAACCATACAGACATACAAACATACACACACATTACAGACATACAAACACACACACACACACATTACAGACATACAAACACACACACACACACACATTACAGACATACAAACACACACATTACACACAGACATTACACACACACACACACGCACACAAACACACACACAAACACGCACACAAACACACGCACACAAACACACACACACACACATTACAGACATACAAACACACACACACACACACACATTACAGACATACAAACACACACATTACACACAGACATTACACACACACACACACACACGCACACAAACACACACACAAACACGCACACAAACACACACACAAACACACACACAAACACGCACACAAACACACACACACAAACACGCACACAAACACACACACACAAACACACACACACACACACACACAGTGAGACAGATGCTGGATCCACAACCGTAATTTGCCAATTTATTTCCATTTAGTGACAAATGAACAGGAGCTGACGCAGAGACACAGTTTGGGTTTAGATTCTGTAGACCCAGGACTGAGACCCAGGACTGAGGCTGTAGACCCAGGACTGAGGCTGTAGACCCAGGACTGAGGCTGTAGACCCAGGACTGAGACCCAGGACTGAGGCTGTAGACCCAGGACTGAGGCTGTAGACCCAGGACTGAGGCTGTAGACCCAGGACTGAGGCTGTAGATCCAGGACTGAGGCTGTAGACCCAGGACTGAGGCTGTAGACCCAGGACTGAGGCTGTAGACCCAGGGCTGAGACTGTAGACCCAGGACTGAGGCTGTAGATCCAGGACTGAGGCTGTAGACCCAGGACTGAGGCTGTAGATCCAGGACTGAGGCTGTAGACCCAGGACTGAGGCTGTAGACCCAGGACTGAGGCTGTAGATCCAGGACTGAGGCTGTAGACCCAGGACTGAGGCTGTAGACCCAGGACTGAGGCTGTAGATCCAGGACTGAGGCTGTAGACCCAGGACTGAGGCTGTAGATCCAGGACTGAGGCTGTAGACCCAAGACTGAGGCTGTAGACCCAGGACTGAGGCTGTAGACCCAGGACCTCATTATACTTTGGAGCCAGTGTGTGTCATTGTGTTAATGATTTGCTGTTGTGTGTTTTCCACAGAGGGACTTTAGTTTTGTGTTGTTTACAGACCCTGAGGCACGAACCCTGTACCTCGGACACACACACACACTCACATTCACATACAAAAACGCACACACACACACATCATTACTGTGTGTCTTCTCTCACATGAACGCACACATGTGTTATTTCTGTGCCGCTCCGAGGACAGATGAGGCTGTTTCTATTGTTGTGTTTCCTCGAGCAAAACTCTCTTTGGTTATTTTTGTTTTTGATTCAATAAATTGTTTGGGTCTGAGCAGGAGGCGCCGGTCACAGAGGAATCTGTGTGTCCAGACCATGGATCTATAATAATAACTGGATAGAGTATTACTAGCTTACAGCTGTCCCACCCATGGCCACAGGGGGCGCTGTGGTACTGCAGACTAAAATCACGTGGGCTACCCAGAAAAAGTCCCATAGAACTCAATGTAAACTAAAACAGCTCGACCTCAGCTGACAGAGAACCTGACAGAGAACCTGACACAGCTTTCAAAAAGGTCGGATTTTGTGTGGACTTTTGTGTCCCTTGTCATCCTGAACTTTTTTTCTTCTTAAATCCTTCAGTTTTCTTTAAATCCACACTTTAGTGTAGTGGTTGGTAAGTGGACCCCAGAACAGACACAAAAGGCAACTATGCTGAACAAAAAATAGTCTTTATTGTAATAAGACTTCTCCTTTGGGAAAAACAGGAAAGGCTTGGCTCCACAGGGTCTGGCAGGGTGTCTCTGAAGCAGGCAGGAGATCGCTAAGTAGACAGAACAATCTGGCAGTGAGTGCAGGTGAACCGGGTGACTAAGTACAGTGCTTGATTGGAGATGGATGACAGCTTTGCCTGCTCAGAGACACTCCCACCAGCCAAGAGCCAAGCCTGAAAAACAAAACAGAGGGGGACAAACACAAGAGGGAGACAAAGACACTAGTCTTAGCCTAGCACATAACAGGACCCCCCCCTCAATGGACGCCTCCAGGCGTCCTACCGGGCCGGCCAGGAAACCGGACATAGAAGTCCCGAAGCAACCCAGGGTCCAGGATGAGCCCCCGAGAAATCCAGGAACGTTCCTCCGGACCGTAACCCTCCCAATCCACCAGGTACTGAAGCCCACGCCCACGGCGGCGCACATCCAGGATCCGGGACACAGTGAAAGCCGAATGACCATCGACCAGACGGGCGGGCGGAGGGGGTGCGGCCGGAGGGGACAAGGAACTAGACAGGACAGGCTTGAGTAACGAGACATGAAAAACAGGGTGGACAGCCAAGGCAGCAGGAAACTTTAGCTTGACGGCAGCCGGGTTAATGATCCTTTCAATTTCATACGGCCCAACATACCTCGGGGCAAGCTTTTTGCAGGCTACTTGAAGAGGCAGGTCCCGAGATGAGAGCCACACCCTCTGACCCGGCTGGTAAACCGGTGCGGGAGCGCGGTGTCTGTCTGCAGTGCGCTTAGTACGAGCTGCAGAACGAATCAGGGCTGCATTGACAGTTCGCCAGATGTTCCTGCAGCGACGAAGGTGAGCTTCAACCGAGGGAACGGCAACGTCACCCTCCTGGGCTGGAAACAAGGGCGGTTGATAGCCCAGGGAGGCCATGAAAGGGGACATCCCAGTAGCAGAGCTAGTCATAGAGTTGTGAGCATACTCTATCCAAGGAAGGAATGAAGACCAGGCAGAGGGGTGACGGGCAGTAACACAGCGAAGCGCAGTACCCAGATCCTGATTGGCACGCTCTGTCTGTCCATTAGACTGAGGATGGTAGCCTGATGTGAGGCTGGCAGAGGCACCGAGGGCTCGACAGAACGCCTTCCAAACCTGGGAAGAAAATTGAGGCCCACGATCGGACACAATGTCAATAGGGATGCCATGTTATCTGAAAACGTGTTGGACTAGGATATTAGCAGTCTCCAGTGCCGACGGGAGTTTCACGAGGGGGACAAAATGTACCGCCTTAGAAAAGCGATCGATGATGGTCAAAATAACTGTGTTACCTTCCGAGGGGGGTAGACCGGTGACAAAATCCACAGCAATGTGGGACCAAGGACGAGAAGGCACTGGAAGTGGAAGCAGCAAGCCAGCAGCAGGTAGATGTGAAGATTTACTACGAGCACAAACATCACATGCAGATACAAATTCACGCACATCTGGACCCATAGTAGGCCACCAAAATCTTTGTTGTATGAAGGACAGGGTGCGGTGAATACCTGGGTGGCAAGAAAGCTTAGAGGAATGCCCCCACTGAAGAACCCGAGAGCGAGTAGAGGACGGGACAAAGAGCCGATTAGCGGGGCCAGTTCCAGGATCCGGTTCGGTGTGTTGGGCAGCAGTGACAAGGTTTTCTATCTCCCAATGAGCAGCCGCGAGGATACAGGAGGTAGGTATTATGGTCTCCGGTTGAGTCTCCGAACCGTCAGCCGTGTGGAGTCGGGACAGAGCGTCCGGTTTGGTGTTCTTGGATCCAGGTCGGTAAGTAAGGTTGAACTTGAAACGTCCGAGGAAAAGAGCCCAACGTGCCTGTCGAGAGTTGAGTCTGCGGGCTGAACGGAGATAAGACAGATTTTTATGATCAGTCCAGATAACAAATGGGTGTGGTGCCCCCTCCAACCAATGTCTCCATTCCTTTAGGGATAACACCACAGCTAGCAACTCACGATTTCCGACGTCATAGTTCCTCTCAGCATCCGAAAGACGTTTGGAGAAGAATGCACACGGATGGAGTTTGCCGGTCTGCGGGGAACGTTGAGACAGAATAGCACCCACCCCAATGTCAGATGCATCCACCTCCACAAAAAAACTGTTGACTAGGGTCCGGATGTGTGAGGACAGGTGCAGTAGTAGTAGTAGTAGTAGTAGAATGTACGCATGCGCAAGATGGCGGACGCATTTGTTTGGAGCCTTTTTTGAGCTGCACGTTTTTTATGATTTATTTTTAAACTAAGTTTCTTTTACTGGTTTTATTTGCCCTACTCGACGGAGTAAGCGGATTTTAACAGACTGCATAAAAAAGGATTACTGTCACTTTTAACAGGACTGTTTATCAGCCTTTTACCGGTAACCAGCCTGCCCACACACATCACCATGGACACCGATGCTCCCCCCGCGAACTCATACAAACAGATATACAAATCACAACTGGCTTCAATCCTCCCATCCAAACCAGTAAACACCATAACTTCAGCGCACTGTCAAAGAACTATCCACCGAACTCATTCATAAAGAGAAACTTCTGGAACATTTCATGGACATATCATTCAAACAGTCACAGCAAATATCCCTCTCCGTACTCAGACAATCACAGCTCCACGACACTGCACTCTGGGATCCAATCGCCTGTCCTCACCCCTCATCATGCTCTACCCCGGTGCTTACCTCACGCTCCCCGGTTGCAGCTGTCCCTCTTGGTGCTCTTCCCTCCTCCTCAGTCCCGGAGCCTGCTGCCCATACCCAGAGCGGCGTGGAGCAGAGGCCTGGAGGCCACACGACATCCACGGCGTCCTCGCGCCGCAGGTTGGTGGAGGAGGCTGTGCGCAGACGCTCGGGGAGCTTCCCACGCTCTAAAACAGCGCGGGGCTCTCCGGGTGTCACGCAGGACCAACTGCGGGAAGCCCCGGGGGGATCTCTGTGCCCCGACGTGGCACCGGATACCCCCGGGAGCGCTGTCCCTGCTGTGGGAGGGTCCGTGCGCTCTGACGCGGAGGGAATCCCCAGAGGCGAGACACAAAGCAGGTCCTACGCTGAGGTGGCCGCGGGGGGACCTCTGCGCCCTGACACGGCGTGGAGTCCTCCCGTAGACGCTGCATCGCTCGCGGGGGGGTCCCTGCGCCGTGCCGCGGCGCAGAGTCCTCCCGTAGTTGCTGCCTCGCCCGCGGGGGGGTCTCTGCGCTTTATCTCAGCGCGGAGCTCCCCCGCGGAGGCTGTCTCGCCTGTGTGGTGACAGTTTTTGGAGTAATTACATTAAAACCAGCCGCAGCAAATACACGGACGTCAAAGGCCTTTTATCAATGCAGACGACCTTCTGACGCCATGCTGAGCTTTGTGAAGGTCCCTGCTGTCTGTCACACCCTTGTGTCTTTCCGTCTTGCATCTGTATGACCTGCATTTAGACCAGGACATGTTGGAGGAGACCATGTTGGAGGAGACCATGAAGACCCAGGTCATGTTGGAGGAGACCATGAAGACCCCCAGGACCATCATGTTGGAGGAGACCATGAAGACCCCATGTTGGAGGAGACCATGAAGACCCATCATGTTGGAGGAGACCATGAAGACCCAGGTCATGTTGGAGGAGACCATGAAGACCCAGGTCATGTTGGAGGAGACCATGAAGACCCAGGTCATGTTGGAGGAGACCATGAAGACCCAGGTCATGTTTGAGGAGACCATGAAGACCCAGGTCATGTTGGAGGAGACCATGAAGACCCAGGACATGTTGGAGGAGACCATGAAGACCCAGGTCATGTTGGAGGAGACCATGAAGACCCAGGTCATGTTGGAGGAGACCATGAAGACCCAGGTCATGTTGGAGGAGACCATGAAGACCCAGGTCATGTTGGAGGAGACCATGAAGACCCATGAAGACCCAGGACATGTTTGGAGGAGACCATGAAGAGACCATGAAGACCCAGGTCATGTTGGAGGGAGAAGACCCCATGAAGACCCAGGTCATGTTGGAGGAGACCATGAAGACCCAGGACATGTTCTGAGGAGACCATGAAGACCCAGGTCATGTTGGAGGAGACCATGAAGACCCAGGTCATGTTGGAGGAGACCATGAAGACCCAGGTCATGTTGGAGGAGACCATGAAGACCCAGGTCATGTTGGAGGAGACCATGAAGACCCAGGACATGTTCTGAGGAGACCATGAAGACCCAGGTCATGTTGGAGGAGACCATGAAGACCCAGGACATGTTCTGAGGAGACCATGAAGACCCAGGTCATGTTGGAGGAGACCATGAAGCCCCAGGTCATGTTGGAGGAGACCATGAAGACCCAGGTAATGTTGGAGGAGACCATGAAGACCCAGGACATGTTCTGAGGAGACCATGAAGACCCAGGACATGTTCTGAGGATACCATGAAGACCCAGGACATGTTGGAGGAGACCATGAAGCCCCAGGACATGTTGGAGGAGACCATGAAGACCCAGGACATGTTGGAGGAGACCATGAAGACCCAGGACATGTTGGAGGAGACCATGAAGCCCCAGGTCATGTTGTGAGGAGACCATAAAGACCCAGGTCATGTTGGAGGGGACCATGAAGACCCAGGTCATGTTGGAGGAGACCATGAAGACCCAGGTCATGTTGGAGGAGACCATGAAGACCCAGGTCATGTTGGAGGAGACCATGAAGACCCAGGACATGTTCTGAGGAGACCATGAAGACCCAGGTCATGTTGGAGGAGACCATGAAGACCCAGGACATGTTCTGAGGAGACCATGAAGACCCAGGTCATGTTGGAGGAGACCATAAAGACCCAGGTCATGTTGGAGGAGACCATGAAGACCCAGGTCATGTTGGAGGAGACCATGAAGACCCAGGTCATGTTGGAGGAGACCATGAAGACCCAGGTCATGTTGGAGGAGACCATGAAGACCCAGGACATGTTCTGAGGAGACCATGAAGACCCAGGTCATGTTGGAGGAGACCATGAAGACCCAGGACATGTTCTGAGGAGACCATGAAGACCCAGGTCATGTTGGAGGAGACCATGAAGCCCCAGGTCATGTTGGAGGAGACCATGAAGACCCAGGTAATGTTGGAGGAGACCATGAAGACCCAGGACATGTTCTGAGGAGACCATGAAGACCCAGGACATGTTCTGAGGATACCATGAAGACCCAGGACATGTTGGAGGAGACCATGAAGCCCCAGGACATGTTGGAGGAGACCATGAAGACCCAGGACATGTTGGAGGAGACCATGAAGACCCAGGACATGTTGGAGGAGACCATGAAGCCCCAGGTCATGTTGTGAGGAGACCATAAAGACCCAGGTCATGTTGGAGGGGACCATGAAGACCCAGGACATGTTGTGAGGAGACCATGAAGACCCAGGACATGTTGGAGGAGACCATGAAGCCCCAGGTCATGTTGGCGGAGACCATGAAGCCACAGGTCATGTTGGAGGAGACCATGAAGCCCCAGGTCATGTTGGAGGAGACCATGAAGCCCCAGGTCATGTTGGAGGAGACCATGAAGCCCCAGGACATGTTGGAGGAGACCATGAAGACCCAGGACATGTTGGCGGGACTGTGTCTGAGCTGTGTACCGCCGTGTTCCGTTGTGTACCTTTGTGTACCGCTGTGTCTCTGCTCCTGACCCACCCCAGACTGTGACACTCAATAAAGTTTGGATTCAAAGTTGTGTTGCAGCGATTGTTGTGTCGACTGGAACCAGGAAGTGTAAAAAGTGATGCAAAATGTCAAAATGTGTCTCAGTTTGAGCAAATTCAATCTGAGCCTTAAAAATTGCCAAAAGAATACAAAAAATGATCTTGTTAGAAAAAAACACAAGAAATGTCTCACTGTCTTGTTTTAACTCAGTCAGAATGTGCTCAAATTAAGATAAAACAAATTGATTCAAGTATTTATGAGCTCATATGTTTTCATTTTTTGCAGTGTACGACCACATTAGTCCAGTTCTCAGGTCTCTGCTTCCAGTGGATCAGAGGAGCACAGGGACCGGCCTCCTGCTGGGACTCTGAGGAGCACAGGGACCGGCCTCCTGCTGGGACTCTGAGGAGCACAGGGACCGGCCTCCTGCTGGGACTCTGAGGAGCACAGGGACCGGCCTCCTGCTGGGACTCTGAGGAGCACAGGGACTGGCCTCCTGCTGGGACTCTGAGGAGCACAGGGACTGGCCTCCTGCTGGGACTCTGAGGAGCACAGGGACCGGCCTCCTGCTGGGACTCTGAGGAGCACAGGGACTGGCCTCCTGCTGGGACTCTGAGGAGCACAGGGACCGGCCTCCTGCTGGGACTCTGAGGAGCACAGGGACCGGCCTCCTGCTGGGACTCTGAGGAGCACAGGGACTGGCCTCCTGCTGGGACTCTGAGGAGCACAGGGACTGGCCTCCTGCTGGGACTCTGAGGAGCACAGGGACCGGCCTCCTGCTGGGACTCTGAGGAGCACAGGGACTGGCCTCCTGATGGGACTCTGAGGAGCACAGGGACTGGCCTCCTGCTGGGACTCTGAGGAGCACAGGGACCGGCCTCCTGCTGGGACTCTGAGGAGCACAGGGACCAATCCGATATCTATCCCCAAATGTACCTGTAGCCAGTGGACGGTATCAAAGGGACCGCCGTGGCCTCGCTCCTGGTCCGATTCCCGACAGTAAAATCCAGAGTCAGATCTAATCGACTTCTTCCTGGAAACGCCACAGATGATGTCGCACACTTTTGTTTTTCTGCCACAGCCTCGAGGATCTATGCTCTTCTTTACTATTGTGTCTCTCTCAGATCCAGGTCCAGGCTGATCCATCTATACACACACACACACACACACACACACACACACACACACACACACACACACACACACACACACACACACACACACACACACACACACACACAGACACACAGAGACACACAGACACACAGAGACACACAGTGACACACAGACACACAGAGACACACACACACACACAGAGACACACACACACACAGACACACACACACACAGACACACAGAGACACACACAGACACACAGAGACACACACACACACAGACAGACACACAGAGACACACACACACACACACAGACACACACACACACACACACACACACACACACACAGAGACACACACAGACACACACACACACAGACACACACAGACACACAGAGACACACACACACACACACACACAGGGACACACACACACAGTGACACACACACAGAGAGAGACACACACACACACACACACACAGAGACACACACACACACAGAGACACACACACACACACACACACAGAGACACACACACACACACACACAGTGACACACACACACAGAGACACACACACACACACACACACAGACACACACTCCCCTCTCTCTGCAGTAGTCGTCAGTATTCCGCTCACCGGCCTCAGCGGACAGACCACAGAAGACTTACGAGCTGTCACGCTTGGACGCCACCCCCCCCCCCCCCCCCCCTCCCCTCCTCACCCCCCCCCACTCCCTTCCTCACCTCCTCCCCCTCCCCACTCCCTTCCTCACCTCCTCCCCCTCCCCTCCTCACCCCCTCCTCACCTCCTCCCCCTCCCCTCCCCTCCTCACCTCCCCTCCTCCCCCTCCTTCTCTTCCACAGCTCAGTATGTGACTGGTGTCGTTGTGAATGGGCCAACAGGGACAGACGCCACGGACTGAGGAGAGAGAGGCCGAGGGCAGAACGTGAGCGGACACAGAGATGGGAGCTAGGAGGGAGCTAGGAGGGAGCTAGGAGGGAGCTAGGAGGGAGCTAGGAGGGAGCTAGGAGGGAGCTAGGAAGGAGCTAATAGGGAGCTAGGAGGGAGCTAGGAGGGAGCTAGGAGGGAGCTAGGAGGGAGCTAGGAGGCAGCTAGGAGGGAGGAGCTAGGAGGGAGCTAGGAGGGAGCAAGGAAGGAGCTAGGAGGGAGCTAGGAGGGAGCTAGGAGGGAGCTAGGAAGAAGCTAATAGGGAGCTAGGAGGGAGCTAGGAGGGAGCTAGGAGGGAGCAAGGAAGGAGCTAGGAGGGAGCAAGGAGGGAGCTATGAGGGAGCTAGGAGGGAGCTAGGAGGGAGCAAGGAAGGAGCTAGGAGGGAGCAAGGAAGGAGCTAGGAGGGAGCTAGGAAGGAGCTAGGAGGGAGCTAGGAGGGAGCTAGGAGGGAGCTAGGAAGGAGCTAGGAGGGAGCTAGGAGGGAGCTAGGAAGGAGCTAATAGGGAGCTAGGAAGTAGCTAGGAAGGAGCTAGGAGGGAGCTAGGGAGGAGCTAGGGAGGAGCTAGGAGGGAGCTAGGAAGGAGCTAATAGGGAGCTAGGAAGTAGCTAGGAAGGAGCTAGGAGGGAGCTAGGGAGGAGCTAGGGAGGAGCTAGGAAGGAGCTAGGAGGGAGCTAGGGAGGAGCTAGGGAGGAGCTATAATATTATTATATAAGTATAAAACCTTTTTGTAAACAGGAAAAAAACAACTCTAATTTCCACCAAACAAAAACACAGTATTTTTGTCTCATTTTGAATTCCTTCGTCTCTCTTTTAGTTTTAGTCTGAGTTTACACGGAGACAATGTGGCAGTAAAACACTATAGTTGGATGTCAGTTTCTACCAACCGTTTACACGGAGACTGTTCCAGGTGAAAACATAAGTGTTCAGATCCAGCCTCAGAGTGGGACAACTCAGAAACACTGCACAGCGGGGGCTCTTTCACACCCGCGAGAGGGGAAAGGTGTGACCCCCCTCTGCTCTGACCCACACCTCCTGCTGCTCTGACCCCCACCTCCTGCTGCTCTGACCCCCACCTCCTGCTGCTCTGACCCCCACCTCCTGCTGCTCTGACCCCCGCCTCCTGCTGCTCTGACCCCCGCCTCCTGCTGCTCTGACCCCCGCCTCCTGCTGCTCTGACCCCCGCCTCCTGCTGCTCTGACCCCCACCTCCTGCTGCTCTGACCCACACCTCCTGCTGCTCTGACCCCCACCTCCTGCTGCTCTGACCCCCACCTCCTGCTGCTCTGACCCCCACCTCCTGCTGCTCTGACCCCCACCTCCTGCTGCTCTGACCCCCGCCTCCTGCTGCTCTGACCCCCACCTCCTGCTGCTCCCCAGACGTACATTTGGACATGTGCAGTAGCGGAGAACAAACATAAACAAAAATGGCGGCGGTCACACTAACTAGCTTCGTGGGCTTCGAGCACAGCACAGAGGATAATTCTACTCCTTCGTTCGTCCAAACGAGACCACGCGAAGCTCTAGGTTCAGTTCCCATTTTCACAGCTGCTGTTAAAATGCAGAATGATGTTGGTCCTTTCTGAGGGTCTGGCACAGGAAGTTAGTACACTGCAGAGGGGGGGCTGGGGGTCGTGTGAGTGTTGTAAAGTTTCTCTGCCCACTACTGGCCGGGCGCTAGAACTACATCGTTTTTCAACCTCATGTGAACGCTGAGAAATTTGCATTAGGAGACAGGTCGTTACTGTTAATAGCCTGGAAACGTCTGCGCAGGGCCTCAGTATAAACAGGACCTCAGTATAAACAGGGCCTCAGTATAAACAGGGTCTCAGTATAAACAGGGCCTCAGTATAAACATGGCCTCAGTATAAACAGGGCCTCAGTATAAACAGGGCCTTAGTATAAACAGGGTCTCAGTATAAACAGGGCCTCAGTATAAACAGGGCCTCAGTATAAACAGGGCCTTAGTATAAACATGGCCTCAGTATAAACAGGGCCTCAGTATAAACAGGGCCCAGTATAAACAGGGCCTCAGTATAAACAGGAACTCAGTATAAACAGGGCCTCAGTATAAACAGGGCCTTAGTATAAACAGGGCCTCAGTATAAACAGGACCTCAGTATAAACAGGGCCTCAGTATAAACAGGAACTCAGTATAAACAGGGCCTCAGTATAAACAGCGTCTCAGTATAAACAGGGCCTCAGTATAAACAGCGTCTCAGTATAAACAGGGCCTCAGTATAAACAGGGCCTCAGTATAAACAGGGCCTTAGTATAAACATGGCCTCAGTATAAACAGGGCCTCAGTATAAACAGGGCCTCAGTATAAACAGGGCCCAGTATAAACAGGGCCTCAGTATAAACAGGGCCTCAGTATAAACAGGGCCTCAGTATAAACAGGGCCTCAGTATAAACAGGGCCTCAGTATAAACAGAGCCTCAGTATAAACAGCGTCTCAGTATAAACAGGGCCTCAGTATAAACAGGGCCTCAGTATAAACATGGCCTTAGTTTTTCTCACTCTTTCTTGTGTAGTTCAGTTCCTCTGAGACGTGTTTTATCTGCTTTTGATTCAAATCATCTTCATTCATTTCAGTCTTATCCTTTCCTTGTTATCGCTCACTTTTCTCTTTGGGAGTCGACAAAACCACGTTATCTCAGATTGTTAAACCTCAGAAACTAAAAGGAGCTAGGGAGGAGGTAGGAAGGAGGTAGGAAGGAGGTAGGAAGGAGCTAGGAAGGAGGTAGGAAGGAGCTAGGAAGGAGCTAGGAAGGAGCTAGGAAGGAGGTAGGAAGGAGGTAGGAAGGAGGTAGGAAGGGGCTGGGGTTTGTGTGTGTCTGTGTGTGTCTATGTGTGTCTGTGTGTCTGTGTGTGTCTGTGTGTCTGTGTGTCTGTGTGTCTGTGTGTCTGTGTGTGTCTGTGTGTCTGTGTGTGTCTATGTGTGTCTGTGTGTCTGTGTGTGTCTGTGTGTGTCTGTGTGTCTGTGTGTGTCTGTGTGTGTCTGTGTCTGTGTGTGTCTATGTGTGTCTGTGTGTGTGTGTGTGTGTGTATTTTTGGGACAGAAGCCTGAGCATCAAACCAGGACACTGACCTGAGGCTGGCTCTGCTTTTAGCTCCGCTCTGGCCTCCACACACACACAAAGACACACACACACACACGTACACACACACACACACACACACACACGTACACACACACACACACACACACACACACCCAGGGCCTCACTTACTGCTCTTTGTCCGCAGCCGTAGTGTTTTCGCTGTGAGTGGGTTTGGACTTTCACAGGAGACGCTCACAGTGAGTAATGTGTGTGTTCCAACATGGCCGCCTCACCACACGCACGACCTGCTGTTGTGTTTACCTCCATCCACGCTCACAGTGAGTAATGTGTGTGTTCCAACATGGCCGCCTCACCACACGCCGACCTGCTGTTGTGTTTACCTCCATCCACGCTCACAGTGAGTAATGTCTACATGAGGAAAGACCGAAGGAACCGCGTGGCACCAGCTTGTCACAGATGGACTTTGGTTCGAGGCCTTGGAGGGGCTGGAACAGACTCAGAGTTTTCTTTTTTAGAGTCTCGTTAAGCCGTAGATCCTCCTCCGGATAAGTCGGGCTCGTTCTGGTCCGTCGGCCTTCTCTGTGTGGTGTGCGGCGCTGGATCCACGGCTCGTTCATGCAGACGTCCATTCAGGAGTCTGTGCAGGTCACTGGACACAGATGCTCAAACCACACACTCAAAACACAGGTCTGGACTCAGGTTTTGTGTGCCGGAGGGAGAGGAGGGGGAGGAGGGGGAGGAGGGAGAGAGGAGGAGAGGGGAGGAGAGGGGAGGAGAGGGAGGAGGGGGAGGAGGGGGGGGAGGAGGGGGAGGAGGGGGGAGGAGAGGGGAGGAGAGGGAGGTCGCTATCTGTGAGTGTGTGTCTGTGTGTGTGTGTGTCTGTGTGTGTCTGTGTTGTGGTACGCTCTGTTTTCCAGAGTTGTAGTCTCTGTGAGTGTGTGTGTGTTGTGTTGAAAGAGAGTGTCTGTGTGCTCTGGTTCCCACAGCAGGTCGCTCCTGTGATGGTGAGTAGTCTGTGTGTTGTGTGTGCTGAGCTGTGTGTCTGTGTCGCTCTGTTTCCCTCAGCAGGTAAGACCTCTGTGTCGGTGTGAGTGTCTGTGATGTGTGTGTACTGTGTGAAGTGTGTGTCTGTGTCGCTCTGTTTCCACAGCAGGTAGTCTTGTGTGTGTGTGTCTGTGTGAAGTGAGTGTGTATGTGTGTGTCTGTGTGTGTGTGTCCTGTGTGCAGCGTGTGTGTTGTGACGTCCTGTTTCCCAGCAGGTTAGTCCTGTGTGAGTGTGTGGGTATGATGTGTGTGTGTGTCTGAGTAGCTCTGTTCTCCCACTGCAAGCCCCCCCCCTGGTAGGCTCTCTCTGTGAGTGTGTGTCTGTGTGTAGTCCTGTGTGAGCGTATGTGTCCTGTGTGACGCTTGTTTCCCACGCAGGTAGCTCTCTGTGCGTGTGTGTCTGTGTGTGTGTGTCTGTGTGAAGTGAGTGATGTGTGTCTGTGTGGGTCTGTAGTGCAGTGTGTGTGTGGTCAGTGTGCAAGTGTGTGGAGTGTGTGTGGAGTTTGTGCGTGAAGTGTGATGTCTGATTCAGCTGTGAGTGTTTGTCTGTGTGTAATTTAGGCAGACGAGGGTGCTGTGACACATGATCTGGACTTGTTCTCTGATCTTCCAGTGTAGCTGATGGGTGCTGATGCAGAGGGCGAGTGGAGCTGGTATGACTCACGTCTTCCCTTCATCATCATCTTACCATCACATACACTCTCATCACATCATCATCATTCACTCACTCACCATCCCACCTATCTATCATCATTCATCATCATCACAATCACCATCTTTCATTTAATCATCATCATCATATCCCCCATATCATCTTCTACCACCATCATCTATCATATCATCCCCTCAATTCATCTCACAATCCCATTATCCTCTCACCCATCATCTCCATATCCCATCTCTCATTCATCCTCATGTCACCACATCATTCCTATATATCCCCTCTCATTCATCCTCTTATACATCATCATCATCCTTCATCATCATTATAATAATTAATCATAATATAACTTTATAATTATCATATTGATAATAATTAGGGCTGTCCACCCGATATACATTTTTTTAGTTGATTAATCGGTAGGTAATGGGTGATGTTAACTCTCGCATTAATCGCTTGTTTAAATTCTATTTCAAATTACCATCCACTTGAAGTTAACTGAGATTATCAACTTATACTTTCCAGTGTTGGGTAAAGTTATTTGAAAACAGTAATTCGTTATAGTACATGTTACTTCTTTCCAAAATGCTAAATAGATTTCTAACTGAGTTACTTCACTATAAATGTACTCGTTTACCAGTAAAGTCAACTATTGGTTATTTTTAGTTTGTTTACGTACGCGCGTTAGTGGATGCTTATTAGGTTAACTTTCAAGTGATTAATTGTTGCAACACCCACCTACTTTTCGTTTGATATGTTAGATATAGGGAATGTCCGCTGGCAAACGGTCTCAGACTCGGCACAGGAGCATCTTAAATAAATGGCCTTTAATTTTTATCCAGTGCTTCACACAAAGAGATTACAAAACCTTGCACATGACCGAGACTATCTTAAATCTAATTACGTTACCAAAGACACCCCGGCCAATCTCGCTGACAGACAAGAACCAGGGGCGATTACCGTCGCAGAGCGCGATGACAGTCAGCAAGCCAGGGAAATTACCGTGCCGCCGCAGTGCGTGACAGACACGAACAGGGGAGAATACAGTACGCAGAGCGGCCTGACCGACATGAACCTGGTGAGAATACAGTGACGCATGAGGCTTGAAGACCACGATCCGGGAGAATACGAGGCGAGAGGGTGGTGGGGTACGCTGACAGTACGATCTGGGAAAATACAGCGGAGCGAGATTGGCGCTGAGTTCATAGAACCCGGGCAAATCGTCAGTACGCTGAGTCGGCGCAGACTGGACATGATCTGGGAGAATTTTCAGATGGGGACGAGCCTGTGACGCACAGAACGCAGGAAACTACCAGTGCGCAGCAGCGCTGAGTTCAGGTGGAACGGAGTTGGTGATGTTATTTATACTTGTCGATCCCATGCTTGCTGCTGTTATATTTAAGTAGCTAGATCCCTGCTTGGCAGGTGACAATGCTTGCATCCCCTATCAGCAGCCGAATCAAAACAGAGCCGGGGGGGCAGTTACTCACGCCGCATTCTGAGTGATTATTAAAATGGCTAACAGGTGCGGGTCTTTCGGACTGCGTTAATGTTCGTCAATAAAAAACTCGGTTACTGACCAAAATGTAACCTAGTTGGACGTTACGCGTTCATTTTGACCAGCCAATAATACTACATTAAATGCACCTGTTGTTGGACACATCAAATCCGCCACATCAAATCGAGGCAAGGGGTGACAGAGGTGTTTTTGACGTGATTTCAAAGCTCTGCCAGTGAGTGGGGAGTTCCTGATAGGTTGTAGATAGCCTGTCCCTCCCTTCAACGAAGACTAGTTAATTTCTTAAAGGTAAGTATGTTGTTTGTGTGGGATCTTTACTTAGGATGGAGAGCTTCATCTCTGTTTTTCCCGTGAAGATGTTTGCTTGGCTTGTCCTCTATACCCACAGCTTTCTACATAAAAACAGTGTTCAAGTATCACAAACGTGAAGGTCTCTATCTTGACACAGTCCGCCCAAAGCTCAATAGGGTTTATCTTCCTCTCTCTCTCTTCTCCTTTATTTCTCCCTCTCTCTATCTCCCCACTCTCACTTCGGTCTTTCCCTATCTACAATCATCTTTCTTCGATCACTCCTCCTCTCCCATTCTTTCTCTCTTTTCTCCTTTCTTACTCTTCCATACTCAATTTCTTCTTCTCTCTTTTCCCGCCTCTCTTTCCCTCTATCTCTTCCTCTCTATCTCTCCTCTCTCTTCTCATTCTCTCTGTCTACTAATCTTCTTCTTCTTTTCTCTTCTCCTATTCTCTCTTCTCTCCTCAGTGTTAACCCGGTCTAGTGCTCTACTGCTCAGCGAAGTACCGGGATGTCGGGTTCCGGTACATGCGGCCTCGTTGCCGCGGTTCCAGCTGTGCAGGAACTGCCTTTGGAGCTGGGAACCACAGCGGATCGACAGTCCGTCAGACCAAAGATGAACAGAGCATCCTACTGGGTGAGCGCCCAGCAGGGGGCGTGTGACCCTGGCTAACCATGGTTAGTTGATAGTACAGTGTCTAAGCAGTGCTCTTAATGAAATTAGATGATTATTATTATTGTTGATTCAGTATTTCTAGTCTATCCCCAGTAGCCCCACATCATATGATAAGAACATCTACTCGTATGAATATTTAAGGACGGACGACTGTTAAATCTGGTGTTCCTCACTTTCCTCATCACCTGTAACTCGTATTGGTCTTACATTTTGCAAGAAGGAGCGTGTGAGGGAGTGCTTGGGTGCTGCAGAATTATGACTAAATATATGACCAAAAAACACATGAACGTGCAAAGTAGCGATGAAGCCAAACTAGTTTCATCCAGGATCTATCGGATTTGTATAATCGATTGTTATGCGGCTTGAAAGTTAGGTACCCAGCTTTAATGATATTCCATTGTCATAAGTGACCCATCACTATGTCATTCTAATGTTTCCATGCATTGCGTCTACCGCTAACTAGAGGTGAGTAATAAACGATACAAGATCATGTCTGTACCGGCATTCAAAGATTCCTCAAATTGGACTTTTTGTGGTTTTTTGCAGAAATCTTCAGCTTACGAAGTTTGGCGCGACCGCGGTAACAACTGGGCTGCGTGTCCTCCGAGAGCCGCCTCACACCGGAGTAACGGAGGAACCCGACGGGACCTCAACCTCTCCACATCGTGTAAGATCACATATCATAGACAGCGACCAATGGTACTGGACAATACGAGAGAGAGCAATGGTATTGGACCATAGACAGAGACCACATGGTATTGGACATAGACAGACGACCAATGGTATTGGTCATAGACAGAGACCACATGGTATTGGTCATAGACAAGACACATGGTATTGGACCATAGGGAGAGACCTGTATGGCCATAGACAGAGACACATGGTAAGGACCATAGAGAGACACATGGTATTGGACCATAGACAGAGACCACATGGTATTGGTCCATGACAGACCATGTATTGGTCCATAGACCGAGACCATATGGATCTGGTCCATAGACAAAGACCACAATGGTAGTTGGACCATAGGAGAGACCACATGTGTATTGGGACATAGACAGAGACCACATGGTATTGGCCATAGACAGAGACCACATGGTATTGGACCCATAGACATGAGACCACATGGTATTGGACCATAGACAGAGAACCTCATGGTATTGGACCATAGACAGAGACCAAATGGTATTGGACCATAGAACAGAGACCACATGGTATTGGTTTATAGGGGAGACACATGGTATTGGTTTAGGGAGAGACCACATGGTATTGGAATCACCGACTTGTATTTGTCATAGCCAGACCACATGGTATTGGCCCATAGACGAGACCACATGGATTGGTCTAGCAAAAGACCATGGTATTGGTCCATAGACAAAGACCACATGGTATTGGTCCATAGACAAAGACACTGGTATTGGTCTATGGAGCGACATCATGGTATTGGACCATAGGGAGAGACCACATGGTATTGGGACCATAGGAAGATGTCACATGGTATTGGACCAAGGAAAGAGATCACCATGGTATTGGACATAGGGAGAGACCACATGGTACTGGACCATAGGGAGAGACCAATGTTAATGTCTTTAGGTCATTCTCATTTAGCATTATACTCGACCCGGGATCAGCTCTTCCTTATCTCTGATCTATTGAAACAGTTTTTGACAGATTGGTTGATGGTATGTCTTATATATCTGAACTGGTGCAACACTGGTACTTTTAGCCCATTTATTCCAAAGTGGTTTACTGCAAATGACTAAAAAGATTTATCTGAATGTACCATGATAGCATGTTAGTCGTTCTCAGCATAAAAATCCTGGGTTTAAATTTGGTTCGGGAGTGGAGTTTGCATGTTCTCCCGTGTCTGCGTATGTTTTCTGATGCTTTTGGCATGTTAAATCCAGGTTAAAAATGCATTGTGTTTATCTGTGCACTGTGCCCCTGACTCTTTTTAAAGTAATGTTTTTGTTTTCAATAATTGTTTTGTTTAGCACTCTGAGTTTACTTGTGTTACAACCAGTGTGGCGGGTCTGGCTCAAAAGTTTTCCTAAATGAGGTGCGCTGACATGCTGCAGTACCACCCCGGCCGGTGGGGTGGACCCTGACATGCTGCAGTACCACCCCGGCCTGTGGGGGTGGACCCTGACATGCTGCAGTACCAACCCGGCCTGTGGGGGTGGACCCTGCTGCAGTACCACCCCGGCCTGTGGGGGTGGACCCTGACATGCTGCAGTAACCACCCCGGGCCTGTGGGGGTGGACCCTAAGAATAAGAATTAGCCAATGCTAACATATAGCATCTCTTACCTCTGGAAAAACGTCTTTACAGGATGGTCCAAAAGTTGTCTCTTGGCCAAAGCTCCGTTCCACATGTGTGTCAATGCTGAGTGTTCTGGACCAGTCTAGTTTAGTCGCTGTGGGCTTTAGAAGTCTCTCGTTTAAATGAATGGAGCTCGTGCAGCTGACGCATGCACAGATGTGTTTTTTCACAATTTCCAGCCCCCTCTGTAGTTATAGATTCTCCTGATAACGGGTCTGTGTCTGTTTACCAGTGGGTTAGCAGTGAGAAGCTTTGTGTGTGGTATTCTCTCACAAAATAAGCATCAGTGTAGTTTTATACAGTGTAGTTTTATACAGTGTAGTTTTATACAGTGTAGTTTTATACAGTGTAGTTTTATACAGTGTAGTTTTATACAGTGTAGTTGTATACAGTGTAGTTGTATACAGTGTAGTTTTATACAGTGTAGTTGTATACAGTGTAGTTGTATACAGTGTAGTTTTATACAGTGTAGTTTTATACAGTGTAGTTTTATACAGTGTAGTTTTATACAGTGTAGTTTTATACAGTGTAGTTGTATACAGTGTAGTTGTATACAGTGTAGTTTTATACAGTGTAGTTTTATACAGTGTAGTTTTATACAGTGTAGTCGCAGCTTCATGTTCTACGGCCTCCCACTGACACAGAGATACTGACTTGGGTCAGACTACAGACTGCACAGTCAGAGTTTGGTGGTTTCTTTGTGTCTTATGCAAAACTATATGTTTTTAATGTTAGACCGACTCGACCAATCGGGAGCGAGGGTGAAGAACTGATGCTGTCCCCGGTGCTGCCGGAGTCATCAAAAAGGTAATAATACACTGAGCTTTAAACAATATAACAATAATATACAGACTACATTCAAGTATTTGCTACGTTACAACCACAGACCATATGGACACCGTTTATGTCACACTCAGTTTTAGCCTGGTCGTACCAGTCTCAGGACGAGCCAGTTTACAGAATGTGTCTGACGCCTGAATAGACATAATGTGAGTGGTTAAAGTGGTTAAAGTGGTTTATGATGATGTGCCTCAGTTTGTCTGCAGCTCAGAGAATGAACGTGGAACACGCACTTATCGCTGCTTATGTGAACAGGCTCCAGGGCAGCCCAACGTGAGTCTCCACTTAGTATTTACTCAAATGTATTATTGAGATATTGTAAGTACTGTGTGTGCTTCAGTGTGGGCAGCGCAGGCCGACAGGACCAGGAGCACGCGCTGATCGCTCGCTACACGTCACGTCTGGCGGAGACCGAAGGATCTGGAGTGAGTGGAGAGAGTTTAGGTCAAAGGTTAAAGATGGACATAAATATGTTTGTGCTTAAATCACTTTACATCCCAGTGAAAGATACATGTTTTAGGAGAATCTTTCTGTCGGGACAAAAAAGGTTGGTGCCCTTTAAATGTGGATCTTTATTATATTAATTTTCTTTCTTAGATGATTCCAAACCGAAGTATTAACTTTGATGCTAACAAGCAGAAGAGGGAGCTGATCGCCCAGCTGGAAAACAAGAACAGGTTTGTTTCATATCTGCATTTATTGACTTGTTTATACGTTAAAGCATTAATATTCTACATTATTTTAAGCCAGAAATATAATTAAACTAGTCTTTTATGTTTTTAGAATGTGAACTTTTATCTTAAGTAGAAATATATGGTTTAACAACTGTAAAGGGTTTACAAAGCTGTCCGCCTGTAAGTCCTGACGCTACCACTAGAGGGAGGTGTTTTTTTCCGTCTGGGCTGTTCCCGTTCATCCAACACACACAGAGTTCCCTTTTACTCTGCCTTTTTTTCCCAAATTCTAAAATGACCAGCTGCAAACTCCTGCGATTGGAAAGACTTATTCTTGGGAAATCTTCTTTGAGTGTGAGGTCGGTGATAAACTCATCCTCTGACAGGACTGATCTGGGAAACTCTAAGAACTCTACGTAAAGCTTCTGTGCCATAAATGGATTTTAAATCAGTTTATTTGGCTGTCTACACTCTGTTTTTATATCCAATCATTATTATTGATCCAAATAAATAGGAATTGGTAACTTTCGAGTTGCCTATAACACTTGAAAGCAGAATGGCACGGGAGCATTTAGGCAGAGGGGGCGGAGCTACATGTTTATGTCTCCTTTAAGATACAGTCCTGTTTTCTTTTCTGCTTGTTGTTGTTAAAGTTGTTGTTTTTGTGTCGTAGAGAGATTCTGTGTGAGATCAGGCGTCTGCGTGTGGAGCATGACGCCGCGTGCCAGGCCAGTCCTGACAAGGCCACCACCAACCCCACCCTGCTGGCCGAGCTGCGCCATCTCAGGTGACCAGGGCCGGGCCATATTTCAGCTTAATGTGGACCAGAACCGCTGAATATAATGTGGGAAAACATGTTTGAGAGTAAGAAAGTAACACAAATGTATGTTCATTGCTTTGAACTCTGCAGCCAATGCATGTGTAATACACACATTCCTCCTTCAATGCGTTTATGTGAACAGCAGAGAGTGATTATGGACATGGATTTAGCCTGTTATTATTTACAGAACATAACCCTGCGATAAAGGAGGGACCGCTGTAATAATGGATAAAACATGCTCTAACTGAGCTCTAACTGAGCTCTATCTGAGCTCTTTCTGAGCTCTAACTGAGCTCTAACTGAGCTCTATCTGAGCTCTATCTGAGCTCTATCTGAGCTCTAACTGAGCTCTAACTGAGCTCTAACTGAGCTCTATCTGAGCTCTATCTGAGCTCTAACTGAGCTCTAACTGAGCTCTAACTGAGCTCTATCTGAGCTCTATCTGAGCTCTAACTGAGCTCTATCTGAGCTCTTTCTGAGCTCTAACTGAGCTCTAACTGAGCTCTATCTGAACTCTAACTGAACTCTAACTGAGCTCTAACTGAGCTCTAACTGAGCTCTATCTGAGCTCTTTCTGAGCTCTATCTGAGCTCTAACTGAGCTCTAACTGAGCTCTATCTGAGCTCTAACTGAGCTCTAATGTCAGAGTTGCACTTCTCTATTGTTATTGACTCCTATTCCTTTAAAGGTGTAAACATACAGAGAGTGGTGTGAGGTTCATTCAACTCGATGTGTTTTGTATCGACCTGAATCACAGGTCGTCTCCGAGGACTTCATAAAGTTCCTCAAAAGCAGATCAGAGAATCACACAGATCAGGAAATGCAATAATAAAAACACATCGAAGCCATTGGTCCAATAAACGTCCTTAAACGTCCTTAAACGTCCTTAAATGTCCTTAAATGTCCTTAAAGGGCAGTATCGATCCTGGCGCTGACTCTCACGTTCACATTTGATCCAGAGTTTTGCCGTTGATGCAACAGTGTTTTCAGTCGTGCTTCGTCTGAGATTTTGGCGGGAAACGTTCAGTTCAGAGGAGAGACCAGAGAGAGAGACCAGAGAGAGAGACCAGAGAGAGAGACCAGAGAGAGAGACCAGAGAGAGAGACCAGAGAGAGAGACCAGAGAGAGAGACCAGAGAGAGACCAGAGAGAGAGACCAGAGAGAGACCAGAGAGAGAGACCAGAGAGAGAGACCAGAGAGAGAGACCAGAGAGAGACCAGAGAGAGAGACCAGAGAGAGAGACCAGAGAGAGAGACCAGAGAGAGACCAGAGAGAGAGACCAGAGAGAGAGACCAGAGAGAGACCAGAGAGAGAGACCAGAGAGAGAGACCAGAGAGAGAGACAAGAGAGAGAGAGAGAGACCAGAGAGAGAGACCAGAGAGAGAGACCAGAGAGAGACCAGAGAGACCAGAGAGAGACCAGAGAGAGAGACCAGAGAGAGAGACCAGAGAGAGAGACCAGAGAGAGAGACCAGAGAGAGACCAGAGAGAGAGACCAGAGAGAGAGACCAGAGAGAGAGACCAGAGAGAGACCAGAGAGAGAGACCAGAGAGAGACCAGAGAGAGAGACCAGAGAGAGAGACCAGAGAGAGGGACCAGAGAGAGGGACCAGAGAGAGGGACCAGAGAGAGGGACCAGAGAGAGGGACCAGAGAGAGGGACCAGAGAGAGGGACCAGAGAGAGGGACCAGAGAGAGGGACCAGAGAGAGAGACCAGAGAGAGACCAGAGAGAGAGACCAGAGAGACCAGAGAGCGAGACCAGAGAGCGAGACCAGAGAGAGAGACCAGAGAGAGACCAGAGAGAGAGACCAGAGAGAGAGAGAGACCAGGTTCAAGGGAAAGGTCTGTGTTGGAGCTCACCGGTACAGGACTGGTACATGCAGTTATTACACAAACATATATGGATGAATGCTCTGATCCTGAGACCTGATGTGTGTGTGATGAATGCTCTGATCCTGAGACCTGATGTGTGTGTGATGAATGCTCTGATCCTGAGACCTGATGTGTGTGTGATGAATGCTCTGATCCTGAGACCTGATGTGTGTGTGTTGAATGCTCTGATCCTGAGACCTGATGTGTGTGTGATGAATGCTCTGATCCTGAGACCTGATGTGTGTGTGATGAATGCTCTGATCCTGAGACCTGATGTGTGTGTGATGAATGCTCTGATCCTGAGACCTGATGTGTGTGTGTTGAATGCTCTGATCCTGAGACCTGATGTGTGTGTGATGAATGCTCTGATCCTGATGTGTGTGTGTTGAATGCTCTGATCCTGAGACCTGATGTGTGTGTGATGAATGCTCTGATCCTGAGACCTGATGTGTGTGTGTTGAATGCTCTGATCCTGAGACCTGATGTGTGTGTGTTGAATGCTCTGATCCTGAGACCTGATGTGTGTGTGTTGAATGCTCTGATCCTGAGACCTGATGTGTGTGTGATGAATGCTCTGATCCTGAGACCTGATGTGTGTGTGTTGAATGCTCTGATCCTGAGACCTGATGTGTGTGTGTTGAGTGCTCTGATCCTGAGACCTGATGTGTGTGTGATGAATGCTCTGATCCTGATGTGTGTGTGATGAATGCTCTGATCCTGAGACCTGATGTGTGTGTGTGTGTGTTGAATGCTCTGATCCTGAAACCTGATGTGTGTGTGTTGAATGCTCTGATCCTGAGACCTGATGTGTGTGTGATGAATGCTCTGATCCTGAGACCTGATGTGTGTGTGATGAATGCTCTGATCCTGAGACCTGATGTGTGTGTGATGAATGCTCTAATCCTGGGACCTGATGTGTGTGTGTTGAATGCTCTGATCCTGAGACCTGATGTGTGTGTGATGAATGCTCTGATCCTGAGACCTGATGTGTGTGTGATGAATGCTCTGATCCTGAGACCTGATGTGTGTGTGATGAATGCTCTGATCCTGAGACCTGATGTGTGTGTGATGAATGCTCTAATCCTGGGACCTGATGTGTGTGTGTTGAATGCTCTGATCCTGAGACCTGATGTGTGTGTGATGAATGCTCTGATCCTGAGACCTGATGTGTGTGTGATGAATGCTCTGATCCTGATGTGTGTGTGTTGAATGCTCTGATCCTGATGTGTGTGTGTTGAATGCTCTGATCCTGATGTGTGTGTGATGAATGCTCTGATCCTGAGACCTGATGTGTGTGTTGAATGCTCTGATGTGTGTGTGTTGAATGCTCTGATGTGTGTGTGTTGAATGCTCTGATCCTGATGTGTGTGTGTTGAATGCTCTGATGTGTGTGTGTTGAATGCTCTGATCCTGATGTGTGTGTGTTGAATGCTCTGATGTGTGTGTGATGAATGCTCTGATCCTGATGTGTGTGTGTTGAATGCTCTGATGTGTGTTGCAGACAGAGGAAGGACGAGCTGGAGCAGAGGATGTCCACGCTGCAGGAGAGTCGCAGAGAGCTCATGGTGCAGCTCGAGGGACTGATGAAGCTGCTCAAGGTCCTAAAGCCTCACCCTGATTCTTTATGATGCTAACGTTGGAGGTTTTAGATTAGCTTCTTTATGATGCTAACGTTGGAGGTTTTAGATTAGCTTCTTTATGATGCTAACGTTGGAGGTTTTGGATTAGCTTCTTTATGATGCTAACGTTGGAGGTTTTAGATTAGCTTCTTTATGATGCTAACGTTGGAGGTTTTAGATTAGCTTCTTTATGATGCTAACGTTGGAGGTTTTAGATTAGTTTCTTTATGATGCTAAAGCTAGAGAAAGAAGAGTTATTGTTCATTTCTCTCCTACTGTTCTGTAACGATGCAACACTGACATTTCCCCTCTTCATCTTCATTTTATTTAGTTTCAAGTGCTGTGAAAGTGGTCAAAATGTATCACTTTTGTTAATAATTATCAATCAATCAAGTTTATTTGTAGAGCGCCTTTCATACACAGGGCAACACAAAGCGCTTCACACAAAACAAACACCAGAATCACAATTAAAACATTAAAGTCACACAAAACTCAGAGAGACTCCTCAGAGTCCCAGCAGGAGGCCGGTCCCTGTGCTCCTCAGAGCAGGAGGCCAGTCCCTGTGCTCCTCAGAGCAGGAGGCCAGTCCCTGTGCTCCTCAGAGCAGGAGGCCAGTCCCTGTGCTCCTCAGAGTCCCAGCAGGAGGCCGGTCCCTGTGCTCCTCAGAGTCCCAGCAGGAGGCCGGTCCCTGTGCTCCTCAGAGAAGGAGGCCGGTCCCTGTGCTCCTCAGAGTCCCAGCAGGAGGCCGGTCCCTGTGCTCCTCAGAGAAGGAGGCCGGTCCCTGTGCTCCTCAGAGAAGGAGGCCGGTCCCTGTGCTCCTCAGAGAAGGAGGCCGGTCCCTGTGCTTCTCAGAGCAGGAGGCCAGTCCCTGTGCTCCTCAGAGTCCCAGCAGGAGGCCGGTCCCTGTGCTCCTCAGAGTCCCAGCAGGAGGCCAGTCCCTGTGCTCCTCAGAGTCCCAGCAGGAGGCCAGTCCCTGTGCTCCTCAGAGTCCCAGCAGGAGGCCGGTCCCTGTGCTCCTCAGAGTCCCAGCAGGAGGCCGGTCCCTGTGCTCCTCAGAGTCCCAGCAGGAGGCCAGTCCCTGTGCTCCTCAGAGTCCCAGCAGGAGGCCGGTCCCTGTGCTCCTCAGAGTCCCAGCAGGAGGCCAGTCCCTGTGCTCCTCAGAGTCCCAGCAGGAGGCCAGTCCCTGTGCTCCTCAGAGTCCCAGCAGGAGGCCGGTCCCTGTGCTCCTCAGAGTCCCAGCAGGAGGCCGGTCCCTGTGCTCCTCAGAGTCCCAGCAGGAGGCCGGTCCCTGTGCTCCTCAGAGTCCCAGCAGGAGGCCGGTCCCTGTGCTCCTCTGATCCACTGGAAGCAGAGACCTGAGAACTGGACTAATGTGGTCGTACACTGCAAAAAATGAAAACATATGAGCTCATAAATACTTGAATCAATTTGTTTTATCTTAATTTGAGCACATTCTGACTGAGTTAAAACAAGACAGTGAGACATTTCTTGTGTTTTTTTCTAACAAGATCATTTTTTGTATTCTTTTGGCAATTTTTAAGGCTCAGATTGAATTTGCTCAAACTGAGACACATTTTGACATTTTGCATCACTTTTTACACTTCCTGGTTCCAGTCGACACAACAATCGCTGCAACACAACTTTGAATCCAAACTTTATTGAGTGTCACAGTCTGGGGTGGGTCAGGAGCAGAGACACAGCGGTACACAAAGGTACACAACGGAACACGGCGGTACACAGCTCAGACACAGTCCCGCCAACATGTCCTGGGTCTTCATGGTCTCCTCCAACATGTCCTGGGGCTTCATGGTCTCCTCCAACATGACCTGGGGCTTCATGGTCTCCTCCAACATGACCTGGGGCTTCATGGTCTCCTCCAACATGACCTGTGGCTTCATGGTCTCCGCCAACATGACCTGGGGCTTCATGGTCTCCTCCAACATGTCCTGGGTCTTCATGGTCTCCTCACAACATGTCCTGGGTCTTCATGGTCCCCTCCAACATGACCTGGGTCTTTATGGTCTCCTCACAACATGACCTGGGGCTTCATGGTCTCCTCCAACATGTCCTGGGTCTTCATGGTCTCCTCCAACATGTCCTGGGTCTTCATGGTCTCCTCCAACATGTCCTGGGGCTTCATGGTCTCCTCCAACATGTCCTGGGTCTTCATGGTATCCTCAGAACATGTCCTGGGTCTTCATGGTCTCCTCAGAACATGTCCTGGGTCTTCATGGTCTCCTCCAACATTACCTGGGTCTTCATGGTCTCCTCCAACATGACCTGGGGCTTCATGGTCTCCTCCAACATGACCTGGGTCTTCATGGTCTCCTCAGAACATGTCCTGGGTCTTCATGGTCTCCTCCAACATGACCTGGGTCTTCATGGTCTCCTCAGAACATGTCCTGGGTCTTCATGGTCTCCTCCAACATGACCTGGGTCTTCATGGTCTCCTCCAACATGACCTGGGTCTTCATGGTCTCCTCCAACATGACCTGGGTCTTCATGGTCTCCTCCAACATGACCTGGGTCTTTATGGTCTCCTCCAACATGACCTGGGTCTTCATGGTCTCCTCAGAACATGTCCTGGGTCTTCATGGTCTCCTCCAACATGACCTGGGTCTTCATGGTCTCCTCAGAACATGTCCTGGGTCTTCATGGTCTCCTCCAACATGACCTGGGTCTTCATGGTCTCCTCCAACATGACCTGGGTCTTCATGGTCTCCTCCAACATGACCTGGGTCTTCATGGTCCCCTCCAACATGACCTGGGTCTTTATGGTCTCCTCACAACATGACCTGGGGCTTCATGGTCTCCTCCAACATGTCCTGGGTCTTCATGGTCTCCTCCAACATGTCCTGGGTCTTCATGGTCTCCTCCAACATGTCCTGGGGCTTCATGGTCTCCTCCAACATGTCCTGGGTCTTCATGGTATCCTCAGAACATGTCCTGGGTCTTCATGGTCTCCTCAGAACATGTCCTGGGTCTTCATGGTCTCCTCCAACATTACCTGGGTCTTCATGGTCTCCTCCAACATGACCTGGGGCTTCATGGTCTCCTCCAACATGACCTGGGTCTTCATGGTCTCCTCAGAACATGTCCTGGGTCTTCATGGTCTCCTCCAACATGACCTGGGTCTTCATGGTCTCCTCAGAACATGTCCTGGGTCTTCATGGTCTCCTCCAACATGACCTGGGTCTTCATGGTCTCCTCCAACATGACCTGGGTCTTCATGGTCTCCTCCAACATGACCTGGGTCTTCATGGTCTCCTCCAACATGACCTGGGTCTTCATGGTCTCCTCAGAACATGTCCTGGGTCTTCATGGTCTCCTCCAACATGACCTGGGTCTTCATGGTCTCCTCCAACATGACCTGGGTCTTCATGGTCTCCTCAGAACATGTCCTGGGTCTTCATGGTCTCCTCCAACATGACCTGGGTCTTCATGGTCTCCTCCAACATGACCTGGGTCTTCATGGTCTCCTCCAACATGACCTGGGTCTTCATGGTCTCCTCAGAACATGTCCTGGGTCTTCATGGCTCCTCCAACATGACCTGGGTCTTCATGGTCTCCTCCAACATGACCTGGGTCTTCATGGTCTCCTCCAACATGACCTGGGTCTTCATGGTCTCCTCCAACATGACCTGGGTCTTCATGGTCTCCTCCAACATGTCCTGGGTCTTCATGTTCTCCTCCAACATGTCCTGGCTCTTCATGGTCTCCTCCAACATGACCTGGGTCTTCATGGTCTCCTCCAACATGTCCTGGGTCTTCATGGTCTCCTCCAACATGTCCTGGGTCTTCATGGTCTCCTCCAACATGACCTGGGTCTTCATGGTCTCCTCAGAACATGTCCTGGGTCTTCATGGTCTCCTCCAACATGACCTGGGTCTTCATGGTCTCCTCCAACATGCCCTGGGTCTTCATGGTCTCCTCCAACATGACCTGGGGCTTCATGGTCTCCTCCAACATGACCTGGGTCTTCATGGTCTCCTCCAACATGACCTGGGTCTTCATGGTCTCCTCACAACATGTCCTGGGTCTTCATGGTCTCCTCCAACATGTCCTGGGGCTTCATGGTCTCCTCCAACATGTCCCGGGTCTTCATGGTCTCCTCCAACATGTCCCGGGTCTTCATGGTCTCCTCCAACATGACCTGGGTCTTCATGGTCTCCTCATAACATGTCCTGGGTCTTCATGGTCTCCTCCAACATGTCCTGGGTCTTCATGGTCTCCTCATAACATGTCCTGGGTCTTCATGGTCTCCTCCAACATGACCTGGGTCTTCATGGTCTCCTCCAACTTGACCTGGGTCTTCATGGTCTCCTCCAACATGCCCTGGGTCTTCATGGTCTCCTCCAACATGACCTGGGGCTTCATGGTCGCCTCCAACATGACCTGGGTCTTCATGGTCTCCTCCAACATGACCTGGGTCTTCATGGTCTCCTCCAACATGACCTGGGTCTTCATGGTCTCCTCCAACATGTCCTGGGTCTTCATGGTCTCCTCCAACATGTCCTGGCTCTTCATGGTCTCCTCCAACATGACCTGGGTCTTCATGGTCTCCTCCAACATGTCCTGGCTCTTCATGGTCTCCTCCAACATGTCCTGGGTCTTCGTGGTCTCCTCCAACATGTCCTGGGTCTTCATGGTCTCCTCCAACATGTCCTGGGTCTTCATGGTCTCCTCCAACATGTCCTGGGTCTTCATGGTCTCCTCCAACATGACCTGGGTCTTCATGGTCTCCTCACAACATGTCCTGGGTCTTCATGGTCTCCTCCAACATGACCTGGGTCTTCATGGTCTCCTCCAACATGACCTGGGTCTTCATGGTCTCCTCCAACATGTCCTGGGTCTTCATGGTCTCCTCCAACATGTCCTGGGTCTTCATGGTCTCCTCCAACATGACCTGGGTCTTCATGGTCTCCTCCAACATGTCCTGGGTCTTCATGGTCTCCTCCAACATGTCCTGGGTCTTCATGGTCTCCTCCAACATGTCCTGGGTCTTCATGGTCTCCTCCAACATGACTAGAAAATCTCCTCAGGGTTCATACCAAACAGATCATGGCGTGGCCTTGGTTCTCGTTCTACAGCCTGAGTCCTGGACCTGGACCTGGACCTGGACCTGGACATGGACCTGGACCTGGACCTGGGCCTTGACCTGGACCTGGATCTGGACATGGACCTGGACCTGGACCTGGGCCTAGACCTGGACCTGTACCTAGACCTGGACTTGGACCTGGACCTGTACCTAGAGCTGGACCTGGGCCTAGACCTGGACCTGTACCTAGACCTGGACCTGGACCTGGACCTGGGCCTGGGCCTAGACCTGGACCTGTACCTAGACCTGGACCTGGACCTGGACCTGGGCCTAGACCTGGACCTGTACCTAGACCTGGACCTGGACCTGGACCTGGACCTGGGCCTAGACCTGGACCTGGGCCTAGACCTGGATCTGGACCTGGACCTGGACCTGGGCCTAGACCTGGACCTGGACCTGGACCTGGACCTGGACCTGGGCCTAGACCTGGACCTGGACCTGGACCTGGACCTGGACCTGGGCCTGGACCTGGACCTGGACCTGGGCCTGGACCTGGACCTAGACCTGGACCTGGACCTGGACCTGGACCTGGGCCTAGACCTGGACCTGGGAGCGGTCTTTCCCACAGTGTTTGTATGAGTTGTTTTTTGCCGAAGCAGGAGAGAGTCTAAGGACAGAGATGATCCAGGACTCTCCACATTTGACCCTGTGTGAGCCACGGTTGACCCTGTGTGAGCCACGGTTGACCCTGTGGGCGCCACGGTTGACCCTGTGGGCGCCACGGTTGACTTAACTCCACAATCGACAAAATGCGGTCTGTTAAAAAGTGCCAATTGTGTCAACATTCCTTCAAACTCCCGCCACACATTCATTTGCAGTGTTTTACTACATTTCCCAGACCCTTGAGTGTCCACGATTGCCACGCCCATATGATGTCATGATATGCAAATTAGATGGTTACAGCTAATTCAACTTTGGGTCATCCTTATCATTTCTCTAATTTACATAACGCCTGTATCTCTTCTGACTTTTATTAAGAAGTTAGGGTAAGATGTCAACGTTTAGCTTCGGGAAAAACATCTGGCGCCTAAACATTTGTAAATATTTATAAAAACTGGTCTCTGCTCCTTTTGAATCAGTAAAACTCAGAGAATCTCTAAAGCACGGCTCCTAAAGTCCTGAGTGTGTTTCAGGCTCTCGGGCCCCTCCTCCGTAAAAGAGAAAGTCCAGCGGCTCCGCACACGCCGTTAAAATGCAAATGTGTGAGAGAAGACGGAGCAGAGAGGATCGGCCCGCGGCACCTGGAGCAGCTCCTGTCTCCACGCTCACATCCGTCTGAGAGATTTATGTGAACGCAGAGAGAGAGTCAGGTACGGGTCAATACGCCCGGGCGGCCATCTTGGAAAGAGAGAGAGAGAGAGAGAGAGAGAGAGAGAGAGAGAGAGAGAGAGAGAGAGAGAGAGAGAGAGAGAGAGAGAGAGAGAGAGAGAGAGAGAGAGAGAGAGAGAGAGAGAGAGAGAGAGAGAGAGAGAGAGAGAGAGAGAGAGAAGGCACGAGACGGAGAAAAATTAAATTAGTCAGAAGAGTCTGAAGAACATTTTCAGGTCTGGATTTCAGCGTGAATCCTGACTCTGGGACCAGCAGGAGGCCAGTCCCTGTGCTCCTCAGAGTCCCTGCAGGAGGCCCGTCCCTGTGCTCCTCAGAGTCCCAGCAGGAGGCCAGTCCCTGTGCTCCTCAGAGTCCCAGCAGGAGACCAGTCCCTGTGCTCCTCAGAGTCCCAGCAGGAGGCCCGTCCCTGTGCTCCTCAGAGTCCCAGCAGGAGGCCCGTCCCTGTGCTCCTCAGAGTCCCAGCAGGAGGCCTGTCCCTGTGCTCCTCAGAGTCCCAGCAGGAGGCCAGTCCCTGTGCTCCTCAGAGTCCTGGCAGGAGGCAAGTCCCTGTGCTCCTCATTGGTATTGGACCATAGAGAGAGACCACATGGTATTGGACCATAGGGAGAGACCACATGGTATTGGACCATAGGGAGAGACCACATGGCGTTGGACCATAGGGAGAGACCACATGGTGTTGGACCATAGGGAGAGACCACATGGTGTTGGACCATAGGGAGAGACCACATGGTATTGGACCATAGGGAGAGACCACATGGCGTTGGACCATAGGGAGAGACCACATGGTGTTGGACCATAGGGAGAGACCACATGGTGTTGGACCATAGGGAGAGACCACATGGTGTTGGACCATAGGGAGAGACCACATGGTGTTTGTCCATAGGGAGAGACCACATGGTATTGGACCATAGGGAGAGACCACATGGTAAAACTTCATCCATGAGCACGTCCCTATTGGGCTCCATTGAGCTAGCAAGTTAGCATCGTCCATCTATATACTGTTCAGTCTGACTTTTACACGGCATACAGACCTCTATCGCAGAAACCTTGATGAATTTGTATAAAAACTCTCTTTGTACGGGGAGTGGGCGGGCCTTAACCTTCAGTGGGCGGGCCTTAACCTCCAGTGGGCGGGGCTTAACCTTCAGTGGGCGGGCCTTAACCTTCAGTGAGCGGGCCTAAACCTTCAGCGGGCGGGCCTTAACCTTCAGTGGGCGGGCCTTAACCTTCAGTGGGCGGGCCTTAACCTTCAGTGAGCGGGGCTTAACCTTCAGTGGGCGGGCCTTAACCTTCAGTGAGCGGGCCTTAACCTTCAGTGGCCAGGCCTTAACCTTCAGTGGGCGGGGCTTAACCTTCAGTGGGCGGGCCTTAACCTTCAGTGGGCGGGCCTTAACCTTCAGTGGCCAGGCCTTAACCTTCAGCGGGCGGGCCTTAACCTTCAGTGGGCGGGTCTTAACCTTCAGTGGGCGGGCCTTAACCTTCAGTGAGCGGGCCTTAACCTTCAGTGGCCAGGCCTTAACCTTCAGCGGGCGGGGCTTAACCTTCAGTGGGCGGGGCTTAACCTTCAGTGGGCGGGCCTTAACCTTCAGTGAGCGGACCTTAACCTTCAGTGGGCGGGCCTTAACCTTCAGTGAGCGGGCCTTAACCTTCAGCGGGCGGGCCTTAACCTTCAGTGGGCGGGCCTTAACCTTCAGTGGGCGGGCCTTAACCTTCAGTGGGCAGGCCTTAATCTTCAGTGGGCGGGCCTTAACCTTCAGTGGGCGGGCCTTAACCTTCAGTGGGCGGGGCTTAACCTTCAGTGGGCGGGCCTTAATCTTCAGTGGGCGGGCCTTAACCTTCAGTGGGCGGGCCTTAATCTTCAGTGGGTGGGCCTTAACCTTCAGTGGGCAGGCCTTAACCTTCAGTGGGCGGGGCTTAACCTTCAGTGGGCGGGCCTTAACCTTCAGTGGGCGGGCCTTAACCTTCAGTGGGCGGGCCTTAACCTTCAGTGGGCGAGCCTTAACCTTCAGTGGGCGGGGCTTAACCTTCAGTGGGCGGGGCTTAACCTTCAGCCATTTTCTTCCATTTTCGACCGTTTAAACCGCGCTCTTTAGCATCTGACTGTACATGGCCTCGAGGGACCCTCCCCCTGCTCTCCCTCTGAGCCTGGGGAGCCCGGGCAAACGTGGCAGTGATTGATGACAGCAGAAGGTCCGACAGGAGCGTGCGTCCGATCGGGTTAGCTTCCTGCGCTGATCAGGCGTGTTAGCTTCCCGCGCTGATCAGACGAGCCGCGGCTTTGATATGCAAATCCAGGCCTCGCAGAGTAACGGGGAGAGCCTTCTGTGTTCACGGTTGATTTATGGCGGCGTCTCAAGGTCGTGCCGGGATAATGTTGACGTCTATTTTAATTATGTTTTAAGTCAGAACATGTGTGACCAGGTTTAACTCTGTGGGTCATTCTGTAGTTCAGCCCTCGCTCATTAACAGATAATTAACAGATATTTTGTTTATATCCTGTAGTTAATTAGCTCTGAGATGGTGTTTATTAAGCACTTATTAGTCCTTATTCTTCATGGCCTTTTTCAGCCTCTGACTAACTACTAACGGACACTTTGGGTTAGGCCTAAGGCTAAGGTTAGGGATAGGGTTAGCATTCACTAATTAGCTCTAAATTAGCTGTTATTTAGCTCTTAATTAGCTGTTATTTAGCTCTGAATTAGCTGTTATTTAGCTGTTAATTAGCTGTTATTTAGCTCTTAATTAGCTGTTATTTAGCTCTGAATTAGCTGTTATTTAGCTGTTAATTAGCTGTTATTTAGCTCTTAATTAACTATTATTTAGCTCTTAATTAGCTGTTATTTAGCTGTTAATTAGCTGTTATTTAGCTCTTAATTAACTGTTATTTAGCTCTTAATTAACTGTTATTTAGCTCTTAATTAACTGTTATTTAGCTCTTAATTAGCTGTTATTTAGCTCTTAATTAACTGTTATTTAGCTCTTAATTAGCTGTTATTTAGCTCTTAATTAACTGTTATTTAGCTCTTAATTAGCTGTTATTTAGCTCTTAATTACTGTGGGTGTTATTTCTTTCAATTTATTTTCATTTTTTACGGTATAATCCTTTTCTAATACAGAAGTGCGTGTATGTGTTTGTGTGTGTATGTGTGTATATGTGTGTGTATATGTGTGTCTATGTGTGTGTATGTATGTGTTTATGTGTGCATATGTGTGTTTGTGTATGTGTGTGTTTATGTGTTTGTGTGTATATGCGTGTGTGGCTATGTGTTTGTGTGTATATGCGTGTGTGTGTATGTGTGCATATGTGCGTCTGCGTGTGTGTATACAGTATGTGTTTGTGTGCGTGTGTACACTTGCGAGTGTATATGTGTGTGTTTTTGTGTGTGTGTATATGTGTGTGTGTATACGTGTTTGTGTGTTTGTGTGTGGGTGTAGATCCCACAGAGAGGTTGTGTGTATACGTATGTGTGTGTGTGTGTATACTTGCATGTGTGTATGTGTGTGTTTTTGTGTGTGTGTGTGTGTATACGTGTGTGTGTGTGTGTGTAGATCCCAAAGAGAGGATGTGTGTATACGTGTGTGTGTTTGTGTGTGTGTGTGTGTAGATCCCACAGAAAGGTTGTGTGTATACGTGTGTGTGTTTGTGTGTGTGTGTGTGTAGATCCCACAGAGAGGTTGTGTGTATACGTGTGTGTGTGTATACTTGCATGTGTATATGTGTGTGTTTTTGTGTGTGTGTGTGTGTATACGTGTTTGTGTGTGTGTAGATCCCACAGAGAGGTTGTGTGTATACGTGTGTGTTTGTGTGCGTGTGTGTGTGTGTGAGTGTAGATCCCACAGAGAGGTTGTGTGTATACGTGTGTGTGTGTGCGTTTGTGTGTGTGTGTGTGTGTGTGTAGATCCCACAGAGAGGTTGTGTGTATACGTGTTTGTGTGTGTACGTGTGTGTGTGTGTGTGTGTGTGTGTACGTGTGTAGATCCCACAGAGAGGTTGTGTGTATACGTGTGTGTGTTTGTGTGTGTGTGTGTGTTTGTGTGTGTGTATACGTGTGTGTGTGTGTGTGTGTATGTGTGTGTGTGTGTGTGTGTGTGTGTGTACGCGTGTGTGTTTGTGTGTGTACGTGTGTGTGTGTGTGTGTGTGTGTCTGTGTGTGTGTACATGTGTGTGTGTGTGTTTGTGTGTGTACGTGTGCGTTTGTGTGTGTGTAGATCCCACAGAGAGGTTGTGTGTATACGTGTGTGTGTGTGTG